TCTCTCTCTCTCTCTCTCTCTCTCTCTCTCTCTCTCTCTCTCTCTCTTCTCTATTTTTTTATTTTTGTTTCAGCTCAATTTTTACATTTCTTTTTCCAGTTAATTTGCCATGTCTTTTATTATTTTTTGGGTCTAAACCAATTTTTTCTAAACTTATTTTTATATAAGAAAAATTTATTATTATTCTACATTAGGAACAAAAACTTTTTGCTTCCATTTCACCAATAATTTTGTTCAAAAAATACTTGAAGAAAAAAGAAATATTTTCTTGTAAAATTGGGTTCTCTAATTTATAAATTAAAATTTCAGTTCGCTTTATTTCATCAATAGCATATTTTTTAATGAAATATTTTTTCTCAATATTGTCAAATAAAAATATAGTTAATTCTTAATATTTAACTGTTTGAATGGATATGAAACATGTCTTAAGTCATTCAACAAAAATATGAGATTTAACATACTCCTAACCCACTTATAAAAAAATAAAAATTAAAAACATACTTCTAACTCAAAACTAGGGGAAAAAACTTGAAAAAGAAAATAAAAAACTGAGCAAAAATAAAAATAGAAAAAAGGGAGGGGAGGAATGGAGGAAGAATAAGAAAGTGTTGATCAGATTGGAGCGAAAAATAGTAGATTTGTTCTACTAATTGATTCCCATAATCATGGATAGAGAAGATTTCTTTCATCTCATCCTTTAGAATAAAACCGACAAATAAGAATGAAAATAGTGGCATCTCCACTACTTTAAGAAGTGGAGAGGGTCTAAATTATATGAAATCTATAGTCTAGGAAATGGTATTCTTTTTCTGTCTGGAAAATATTGAACATAATTATGTTGATCCTTCTTGAAAACGCTTATGCAATTTATAGTTTATCCTTCTTGATTATTACTATTTTTCTCCATTTGATGTGGGTATTATACGATTGGCCCTTTGATATTTTGGATTAATCTAATCTTCACATTTCTCTTTAATGATACTATCGCTATTCTATTCCACATAGATTTCTTTGATTTTGCTAGTTTCATATTATTATCTATCTTGGTTCTTATTATGTTTGTATATGACTTATTCATCTATAGTATTTACGTTGAATTAATTTTAAACTATTATTTATTTTGCACGCAATGATCATAAGGGGGGGGGGGGGGGGTTATTGTAATCAAATAGTCAAAGAAAAAAATATATGTTATTTTGAGTCTAATTTTTTGTTTTCTAATTGTACTAGTCTTTTAGCCTATGCTAAGCACGATCTTATTGTAATTCACCTGCATTTTCGTCGTGTTTCAATCACTCATATTCTAATAGAATTTAAAAATTTTAGTGGCTCACCTCCCCTTCCGAAGCACGAAACCCCTTTGATTAAGGTTAGAAAATATGTCACTACCTGGAAATCATGATAATGAACAAATTATATAATGCTACAATTAAACTCAAGTCCTTCACTTCAAATATGTCATCAGTAGTACCGTCATTAATTTTAAACTTCAGGTGTATGCTTAGTGATCTTGTTCCTGTCTTAAAAATTTGGTATTGAGTTCGCACAACAATAGAATTGAGTTCAAAGTAGAGAAAAATAGTTATTTATATTAGAAATTTTAATCATTTTAAATTATGAAAATAAAATTATATTAGTGCACAGAAAATATAAAATACCTTTGAGTTTGAACAACATCCTTATTATCATTGAGCTTTGATTCTATCGTTTTAATTTTTCCTCCAGAGCACATGTTAAATCTTCCCATAAAGTGATAGCTATAATGTTAAAGCTGACAAAAGAAAAAAATAATATTTATTATTTATGTTATATAATCTTTGTTCATATTTATTAAAGCTATATTTTATTCAAAAAGATAACCAGCATTGTAAAGTTTTTAAACAAAACTTTTTTTATTCATTCATGTATACTATCAATTTGTAAATAAGGATCTTTGTGTAGAATACCTAACAAGCAAACACAAACACTTGATAATATTGTTAGGAATTATTTGTTAATCATTAAAACTAGATTAGATAGTAGGCTCATAAACATGAGACCTAACAAATAATTTCTTCCAAATTGTTAGGAAAAATAAGATTAAAATAGATCCAGACATAAGCAAAACAAACCATGTAAGAATAAAGAAATAGAGCAGAGAGTTAAAAACACTATAACTGATAAACTTAAAGTCTGAAATACTTTACAGAAATGTCGAATCACCCTTTGAACAAAGGACTAGCCTTGAAGAAATGATGCCCCACCTATGGCAGTGTTGGGTCTGCATAATACTTTTGAGTATGAGACGGTAGCAGTGTAAAGAAGCGCTCTCTTCTGTTCACAATTGCAACTTCTTTTCGTTGGAATCTTCAATACCGACAATTTACAGAATTGTAAAATGAAGACAATAGAAGAATTTTATTTTTGTTTTTCTATGTCTCTCAAATGAACAGAGGAGGCTCTTTATATAGGGCTTATGTGAGCTGAGGGGTTAGACAAGGATTTGAATGCCAATTATTACAACGTTTGCAACGTCTACTATAACTGTCATTCAAACATTGTAACATTCATAATGAACCAAACGTTCAGGCTGGTTAAATGCAGCACATGCAAAAAGAGGCACGCCCCGGACCACACGTATGAACCGTGCACACGAGCCGGCTCACTAGCATACCAGCACAAGTGTACATTTCTGACACCTTTGTTACACCATATATAACACATATGTTAATTTGGACCATTTAAAATACATTCAATGAGTCAATGTGGTACCAAAACTCACATTTACTAATTATGCTCCTTTTAGTTTTCTTCTATGAAATCGGACAATATAAATGGTATCCTTCCATATTAATCCTCCATTATTCATTTATATCAACATATTGTGCCTACAAACAAGATTCATTTGAAAGGGGAGAGTCAAGCATTCATCAATACTTGAAGGAGCAGTTTGTCATTTTGTCCATTTATTTATTGCAAGGAGAGTTACTCAAGTTAGTTATTGTCGTTGATTTAATTAATTTCTTTAACTTAATTGGCCAAATTTGGCTATATAAAGTCGATACATGAGGACTGAACTCTGGATAAAGTGCATGTTGCTCCTTACGTGAATCATGTCAGGTAACATATATAACTAAATTGGAGGCATGGTAGACTAGTGCGTCATGGCAGAGTGTGATGATAATCATCGGGAGCACTCTTAAAGATTCAAATTAATTAAGACACAGCATAAATACGTCACATCTCAACTTTGTGCAGTATCACACATCGCATTTCTCCAAACTAAAAGGTTTTGACAGAAGAGAGAACCTTGTGCAGTAACAGCAGAAACATTTAAGCAAGCACAACTGCACAAGCAAGCATTAACTAAAAATTCAAAAAGATAACCAGCTGAAAAAAATAAAATTAAGACTTCGATCACATAAAAAACAAAAACATGTTGGCACTTTTTCCTTATAATTGTTCGTACCTCGAACCTATTTACATAAATATATTACTGTACCGTCTACTTGTTGAACCGTTGTCCTCTAAAGAATCTTTTCAAAAAGACTCAAGAAGAATGGTCCCCCGAGTTTGATAATGTTACCATAACCCAATCTTCTTCCAAGAACTCCACATCTTCATTTGTCAGCTCGACGCTCTGCATACAGTACAAAAACACATTACGATCTACAACTGAAGTTTGAAGAAGATAGTAAGAACATAGAACTCAAGCACAACACTACGCCATCTTAACTTTGTAAAACATTAAAAGCAAATGACAACACTGCTACAACAATCAATGTCTAGCATAAGACCATGAAGAATTTTAAACCTAGGAGACGAGTGGACCAACTCCCACCGCTTCCGTGTTTGAAAATTCTATATGAAATAGAAGGTGAAATTAAATTTCTTGGAACGTATTGTCCTATAACATGCACAACCTGAGGATGAACTACGCAACACTTCTATGCTGCTAACTGGAAGGGGGAAAAATAAATTAAAAAAATAAATTAGAAAAACATGAAACATAAGGAAACAAAACTAATTAAAAGACATCTGCAACTCGAACCAAGATGATTATAATATAAAAAATAAGATGAAAACTACATGTTTCAAGAAATTCTGCTACAACTAGACATTTACTTGATGTTCTGAGTAGCATCAATCCAATACTAATGACCTTCTAGATATAGCACAAGTAAAAAATGTAGGAAGTCTTGAAAATTTAGGATGATACTGATACTTTGCGGATACAACAATGACGAACTTATGTAATGTAAGGGAAGTATTATGGTTAAGAAAAATCAAAGTAACTTGTCCTCCATCTTGAATATCTGCAAGAGGCCATAACTTATTGTAAAGAAAGTGGACTTAATTATATAGATGTTGTCAAATGCGATGGTGAACCTATCATGGTGAAACTATGTTTCATGCAATAGATTTAAAATTTCTCATCTTGCATTCATCTTTTACTCTTCTTAATTCATCAGGGATATGATCATAAATTTTTTGGTATGTTATAGACTTACAGGGGCATCCAATAAAAGTGAGAATTCAAGTATCAAATGTTATTGGTTATTGGAGAATGAGTACACACTTATCTGTGCAGCAAAATTGCTTCTTTTATTAGTGAGAACTGTCAAGCCCTAGGCCCAAAAGCACGTTGGCGTAATGTAAGCCATGTGATCCACTGCATGCAATACATGGTTTGGCTCAATCTATTGCCAAAAAATTGACTAGCCAATGTTGCATTTGACTCCTTGAACTTATATTATAAATCATTCAATCACTCAGTCAATATCCGATGTGCGACTAAATCTCGGGGTATCACAAGAACATTACAATTTAAGTCAGATTTAAGAATTCAGGCAGTACAATCAACTAATCATGACTCATAATCAGTGGTGTATGAATTTTAAGATTACACATATATTGAGAATTTCATAATAAATCCAATAATGAGTACCTGTTCACTAGTTCGCTTGACTGTTGATGGTAGGAGATTATCCCTAAATTCGATATCGATATCATATCCAAATTTTCTCAAGACTGTCCATATTGTTTCAAGACGACCTTTCTCAATGAAGAGTACATGGAGGAAAATGAATCCAGTCAAAGTAAGGCCGTTTTCATTAACCCCATCAGGCATATTCTCTTGCACAACCTTCTTGATTCTAACAATGTCAGTAGGCTGGAGGGAAGCACTGAAGCATTTAACCTGAAAACAAATCCTTTTCAGTTGGACATTAACGACAGAAGATGTTACAATAAAGGTGAGCTTGCAAGTGAATATATTCAAGATAATGGTACAATGAGCATAATAAAACCTGAAAGTCATTCAACTCAGAATCACTTAGTGCTCCATCCCTGTTAGTGTCACAGTGAGCATAATAAAACCTGAAAGTCATTCAACTCAGAATCACTTAGTGCTCCATCCCTGTTAGTGTCACAGAGAATGAATATCCTTTTCAAAGCTCAACTCAGAATCACTTAGTGCTCCATCCCTGTTAGTGTCACAGAGAATGAATATCCTTTTCAAAGCTCTAATACAACGAGGCTTCAATGACTGTGTTTCTTGATCAAACAGTGGGGCGGTTGGATGAAGTACTGCTTTCTGTGCATAATAGAATACTTCTACAACCTGCAAATTGGCATTAGTTAAGTTCAAACAAATGAGAAATGGAACAAACACAACACAGGAAAAGACAAATATACCAGAAAACACAGAAATCTCATAACACCCATTGATGTCTGCATCTACATTGACAATAACACTCTTACCCACAGAACTCCCTCCTAGCCGTTGATCAATAAGTTGTATGCAGATTGGCTCGTGTATGCTAGAAATTTGGATGGTGTAATCTACCAAGTTTACAGTTTAAATTTCAATCCTTGTGGTATAAAGACTTGCATCGTGACATTCTGTTGTGATTTCTATTAGCCCTTTCTAAGATACTAGAGTCAGTGGCACATGGGATTTTCTTAATTATCATCACTACCCACTACAGAAAAGTAGTCAGCTACCTACACATACATACTATAGTTGTAGAAATCGCTTCAATCTCGTCTCGCTTCAATCTCATCCCAGATTGCCGCCGCCTCGAGCTAGGTTCGGTCGATGAAGACAACGATGACATAAGCTCCTGCTCTTCTATTTCCATAGCGGTGATCTGTTGATAGCTGCTCCTCTCGCTTCTCCCAGGCCTCAGGTACGTTCCAAGATTAGATTAGGGTTCGCTGGTGATCTACTGGCAGATCTAGAGTTTTTTCTTTTGAGTAATATTTTTATTTTGTTTGTTTGTTTTGTCATTTTCTTGTTTTGTAATTACTTCTATTATCTAGTAAATGGATATGTTAGTTTTTAGTTAAGTCTGGCTACTGACTCACTTGTTGCGTTGGCTTAAATATTGATTTTTGGGATATTAGGATTTATTCTGAATGTTATGAAATTTTTTTTTTTTGATTATTTTAGTTGGTCATAAACTAATTAACTTACAGCCTCTGCTGATTTAGTTTTGTTGCTCTTTTACTTTTTCTGTAGATCTATAATTGTTCTTTGAATTTTATATTGTAATGATTATAGGATGATTCGGTAGTTTGGCTTGTCTATTAAAATGTTGTATTGTAATTGTTACAACCTAATCATCTTACATGCTTTGGACTTGGACAATCAAATCCTCTTATATTTGTAGAATTCCTGTTTTCTCCGTGATCTTTTGAATTAGTTTCTTATTATGATTGGAGATCATTTGTCTGACAGCCTTGCAAGAGATAAATCTCATTTTGAGCTTTTCATTCTTCTTCATCTTCTCGTCTTGAGCTTCTCGTTCTTCTTCATCTTCTGTGCTTATTTCTCTAACCAAACTCTTGAGACCACTATCAACAAGGTGAGCATTTAATCTTTACCTTGAAAGTTGATGACTGATTGCTTTTAGGGTAATTTTTTTCACGATTGATGATTTGAGGGGGTAGTTTGAAAAATACTGAGATTTAGAGTGTATTTTTGCAAATACTTGTGATTTAAGGGGTTGTGGGTGTGTGCGCGCGCGCGCGTGTATATATATATATATATATGAGTGGAGGGGATTGTGCCACCTCACTACCAAGCACAAAATTTGTGCTTGGTACCAAGCATACCCATATATATATACACCCATATATATATAGACAGAGAGAAATATGGGTATGCTTGGTAGTGATGTGTCACATCCTCATCCACTCATTACCCATGTGAATGTGGTCCCACATTTGAATGAGTGGAGGGAGATGTGACACCTCACTATCAAACATAACTTTTTGTGCTTGGTACCAAGCATACCCATATTTCTTATCCTATATATATACTACTACTTACATATACTATATATATCACTCCTCGCAGCGTAGACAATTTTCTGCCGCTGCAAGTGTATGACATGTGAGCCCCACCACCATGGACAGCTCGGCCGGGCTCCACCCATCTCATACACTTGCCCCAACCCGTAAGGAAATTCCTACCTCCTTCGCAGCTCATCCTCTCGTTTTCTCTACTATATACTACCCTATATTATATATATATTATATATATACTATATATATATGCAAATACCTAATCCAAAACATATGAATCCATTTAATTTTCTAAAAATTTATTGTCCTCCCGTTTCATTCTCAATCAAAGCAAGAAGCTTTTTTATTATCAGTCAATCTAGATGGTTTACTTAAGATACCTAAATAAATTGGGGGAAGTTATGAGCCCCATATAAATTTATAATTTATCATTTTTCTTAGTAGGCCATGGCGCTCTCAGCTCATCTAAGAAGTTGATTTGAATGCAATGAGAACATATGTGATTTTCTAGTACATTATGTATTTATACTTTATAGAAATTTTTCATATGACCATGACTTGTAACAAAAATGAGAAACCTTACAAGGACAAAGTATTTGTTTGGAAAACCCCTATTTAAAGGGTCAGGGAACCAGCTACTTTGTGCGTTTCGTGGCGAGGGATTTGATCAGGAGTTTTCTTTTGAAGGAGCCTCAACAGAGGCTTGCTTATAGGAGAGGGGCTACTGAGATTAAGCAGCATCCATTTTTTTACAGAATGTTAATTGGGCTTTGATAAGGTGTGCTTGGTCGCGAGGCCTTATAATAGGAAGAATGGTGACCATTTGGTTGGTGGGGTTGGTGAAAATGGTGGAGGGGTGTTGATGTGAAGAATTATGATAGATACTTGGACATGGAGTTCTTTTGACAGAGATGGTCTTTTTATTGTTGTTGTTGTATGTTTTGATTCTTTATGTTTGTTGATTCTGGATTAGTTTCAGAGGGTATAACATCACAAAGAATGTCAAGTGCAATTGTTTGGGTTCTTTTGTACCAGGAAGGATGAACCTTTAGATGAATAATTTTTTTTGGAAATTGCTATATGTTTGTAACCAATCAAGACTGGACTATCCTGTGCTGTCACTTTCACTTTTTTGTTGAATTGGAATAACGCTCAATGACGCACACATCTAAAATAAGCTAGCATGGTACATATCCATGCTGCCCATTTTTTCAGGCCTTCATTGGCCAACGCTTCCCTTACAGACGTGTTGGTTGGGTATAGACCAAACCTGTCAGGCGAGCTCGAGCGGGCGAGGAGCTCCTTCAGGCGAGCTTGAGCGGGGCTGCAGGTGAGGTCGAGGCAGTCTGTAGGTGAGCGAGCGTGGACGAGTCAGGCGAGCTCGAACACACGTGCCCGCAGGCGAGGTCAAGCACAGGCGTGGTTAGCGACAGCCTATCATTAGGGTTCCCCTATAAAAGGGAACTTATAGCTTCTCTCTTCGATGCTTCTTCTTCTCTCTCCTCGCAATCTCAGACCTTGGCGGCGGCTCACCTTCTCTCTCTCTGCTCTCTTCTTTTTTTCTCCAGCTCTCACTCAAAGATTTGAGGGGAGGGGGATTTGATTAAGAAGGGAATAGTTGATTGTGAGGGAGGATTTTAAGAAAGTATCTTCACTGTAGCTATAGTGTTGATTGTTGCATTTATTGAGAGATCTCAAGTTTGAGATATACTCTTGCATTGTAATTTCTTGTAATTTCTTGTTTTTGCAAACGTTGGCAATTGCCAACTACATTCCCCCTTCCAACACTTGTATAAAATGTTGGGACTTGTTATAACAATGTTTTTAAAATGAAATTAGTTGTACTTTTTAACGTTGTTAATAACTACCTTTTTTGTAGGGATCATATCATTGTCCATGTCTAGTCCTTCTCTTTTAATATCCTGCCAGCTATCTACATAAATGTTCATGTCATTTTTTTTTCATATGTCTTTATCTAAGCACCAATCTAATTCTTATCAGTTCAAGCCAAGCAACATCTCATCTTATTAATCAGATGATAATTTTTTAAAACAAATGCAAGTAGACGGATAGTGGTTGGAGCGGTTACAACGCATGATAGCAGGCGATAATTTTCTTGCTAACTTGCGCATCCGCTGTGATCTCAATAGCGAAAAAGAAGAAATTTAGCGGGAAAAAAATTCTCAGTTCAGGATTAGGAGCTTCGATCTCATCTCAGATCAACATCGAGGAGCACTTAGATTCTAATCCTGTTGATAGCGGGGATGATGATATCTCTCTCATGGGATCTACGGGTCTAAAGGGAACAATGAAATCTAAATTGATGGCAGAGATTCTCGAGTCTTCTTGTTCTGTGATTGATTCAAATCTTGATCAAAGGCCGTCTCCATTGGCGGGAGCTCATGATCGTGTTCTCTTGGTGGCGGGAAAAGATCGTCCAAGCCTCCGGTGGCAGGAAGTTCAGATCGTCACCTCTGTAAGTCCTCTTCTTCTTGTAATAGCGAAAAGCTCTCTGCTAGGATTTCTTGGGCTGAGGAGATTGAATCGGAGTTATCTTCGTCAAGATCTTTACCTATCTCTAATCCTGTGCTCTTGAATTCAAATATAAGGATTGTTGAAAAAGCTGGTTCTTTGAAGTCAAAGACTAAAAATAATGTTGATGATAGTTCTTTGGTTCTGAATAAGGAGAATAAAGCTAGTTTAGATGAAACTATGGATCCTCCTCTTGAGGTTTCTAAAGTTCCTGCAAAGAGCTGGAGTAGCCTGTTCTCAGATAACAGAAGACCTGGGAAAGGCATGGTTTTGAATTACTTGCCTTCAGATACTAATGATTCAGTTATACTCAATGAAGAAGAGTGGAATGATGGTGCTTCAATGTGGTCTTCCTCTATAATTGGACAAGTTCTTGGTTTAAATGTTAGTTTCAAGGCTATGGAAAGTTATGTGCACAAGGTTTGGTCCCAAGCTCCTGAAATCTATCTTTTAAAGGTAGGCTTGTTCCTGTTTAAATTCAAAGATAAGGATGCTATGAATGAAGTTCTATGTAGTGGCCCTTGATTTTTTGGTTCAAGACCAATGCTTTTAAAACCTTGGACTATTGATATGGAAACAAATAAATCTGATGAATGTCTGTATCCTTTGTGGATTCAATTGCCAGCTTTGAGACTTAATTTGCGGAATTCCAAGAGTATAAGCAAGATTGTCAGCATCATAGGGAAGCTTATTACAACTGATATGTTAACAGCTAATAAACAAAGACTGTCATATGCTAGGGTGTTGGTGGAGGTTAAAATGCCATCACATCTACCTGAC